CAGTGTGACCAGTCTGTCCCGGCTTCTGGATCCTTCAGCGTGACTGGTCTATCCCAGCTTCTGGATCCTTCTGCATCGTGACCGGTCTGGCCCGGATTCTGGATCCTTCAACATGACCGGTCTATCCCAGCTTCTGGATCCTTCTGCGTCGTGACCGGTCTGTCCCGGCTTCTGGATCCTTCAGCATGACCAGTCTGTCCCGGCTTCTAGATCCTTCAGCGTGACCAGTCTGTCCCGGCTTCTAGATCCTTCAGCATGACCGGTCTGTCCCGGCTTCCGGATCCTTCAGCGTGACCAGTCTGTCCCAGCTTCCAGATCCTTCAGCATGACCGGTCTGTCCCGGCTTCCAGATCCTTCAGTGTGACTGTTTGTTGCCATCTGTCTCTCTCTGGCCGTATCCCGGGGCTCCCTCCGCCCAAACGTCCAGTTTACTGATGTCTTCCTCAGTCTGGTCGGTTTCGTGATTCAAACCGTCAACATAACCCTGCGTTCCAGCAGCTGTTTCCCGTCAGGTACCTCGAACTGGCACCTTATGTTGGCACCGGCTATCATCTCAGGGATACGACATCATCTCACGCTTCTCTGAGGCCATTAATTCTACGCCGTAAGCATCTTTTTCTGAGTGTGCTATTAGTCTCATCTCCTTGGGGGTGACTTTTTCCTTTTCTGCCTTTTTAAAAATTATCATTCCCTCTTTTCTAAGATGTTTGGCGGCTTTGAAAACCCGAACAAGCTGCGGCTAGACAGTGAAGACATCTCGGTGGGGGGAGGCTGCTAGTTTATTTTAAAAAACAGAGGACTAGATACAAGCGCAACTTCGATAAAACGTTAAGAAGCTAGAGGGGCAGATAAGAGACGCTATCGGGGTCCCTAGGGGAAGGCTGGGGGGGCTCAGCCCTGACGATTCAAGGTACAGGCCCTGGCCGGGGTGCGTGGGGAGGAGGGGGGCAGAAACGGGGTTAGAGCTTGCGGCGGCGGGGGGGCAAGCGGTATTTAGTGGAAGCCTGGATCGGGGAAGCGGGGGGTGGCAGCTGGTGACAGAGGTCAGAGTGCAGTGTGAGTGAAGGACAAGGGGGCTCCGGGCATGTAGGTGCCAAAGGAGGTTTGCAGGAACTGCATAGCTGAGCCAGCCACGGGTTGGTAACTCATGGAGGGGCAGAGGGCAGAGCCGGGCTGCCCCAAGACGGCCCCGTACGCCTGGACGTGGTGCAGCTCCTGGAACCCCAGCTCGGGCCAGGCCTGGGGGGCGCCGGGGCCCAGCTGCACCGTTCTGGCCAGCATGCCCACCTCGGCAAACGGAAAGGACAGCATGCTGTGCCCACCGTACAGTTCCCCGTACTGGCCTGGGTGCTGAAGTTGCGCGTGCCACTCTGGTTGCACCAAGGGGATGGGGTCCATGAGACGGCCCGCCCACCCCCTGCGGCGGCCCGCGCCCCCCCTGCGGCGGCCCGCTGGCTCTGGGGGCGGCGGGCTCCCTCCTCCCCGACGGCGGCCTCTCCCCGCAGTGCGAGCGGCCTCCGCGGGAGCTGGGGTCTCACATCTCATGGGCTTCACGTAGGCGACGGGTCTCGCGGGCCGGCAGGGCTCCGAGGGGACAGCGGCTGCCACCGAGTCCGCGGAAGAGCAGGCTGGTTGCTCCAGGTGTCCGTCTGGGGGTAGACAGAGAAGGAGCAGAGAGTGAGAGGAGGGGAGCGGAGAGGGGGGTGTTCGGGAAGACTCAGGGGAGGGAGAACAGGAGGGAGGTTTGAGGACGGCCCAGGGTCACCCGCACGCACGGCCAGCCCTGGGGAGCTCTGTCTGTCCCCGCCGGCCTCTTCGGGGCTCAGCGCTTTCTACTCCTTACGATCTCGCCAGCTGGGTGTTACTGACAACTAAATTCATAAAGTGAATTAAGCCTACGGTTCCCCGGAGAGACTGAGTTTGAATAAACGTTGCCCGTGGCCTGCCCTCGCTGAGCTCCGACTTCAGTACGAGTGACAAACAGGACAGACCGAGAGATGAACAATGTCAGTGGGTGACAAGTTGGGGGGTGATGGAGCTTGGGTGTCGCCAGGGAAAGCTGTGTAGCCTAAGAAAAAAAAGTCTTCATGGGCCGGGCGCGGGGGCTGACGCCTGTGATCACAGCACTCTGGGAGGCCGAGGCGGGAGGATCGCTGGGAGGTCAGGAGTTCGAGGCCAGCCTGAGCAAGAGCAAGACCCCGTCTCTACTAAAAGTACAAAGAAATTAGCTGGACAACTAAAAATATATAGAAAAAATTAGCCGGGCGTGGTGGCTCATGCCTGTAGTCCCAGCTACTCGGGAGGCCGAGGCGGGAGGATCGCTTGAGGTCAGGAGTTCGAGGCCAGCCTGAGCAAGAGCAAGACCCCGTCTCTACTAAAAATATAAAGAAATTAATCGGACAACTAAAAATATATAGAAAAAATTAGCCAGGCACGGTGGTGCATGCCTGTAGTCCCAGGTACTC